GGAGAAAGAAGGCACTAATGACCTGATATCGATCAAAAGACCCAAAATTCCCAAAGAGAGGCCACCGGAGTTGAGCAGAGAAATCAATTCTAGGCAATCTGAGAAGCAGGCCACTTGAGAAACGTTAGCAGCTCTAGCATAAGTAAGAGCAAGCAAAACCGCAGTAGCTTCAGCAGCGAGGGCTGAAGGGATAAAATCTCTGACCTCCGTACCTTGTAGGACAATATCACCAACAGAGTTCTTGATGATCCATCCCGCTCCACACCGTAAATCAGAGGCCTGCCAGGCTGCATCTGTGTAGCAGCTGAGGACATCCGGCGGAGGGAGAAAGCGAGGAGTTAGAGAAGGAGGAAGGTTACTCTGATCCGAAGCGGCATTTGAGGCTGTCCGAGAGTGTTGCCACGCTTTTGCCTCTGAGATGGCTTTATGGTAGGTGTCCTGAGCGGAGACAATACGTTCCTCGAAGATGAGGAGATTCCTCGCTTTCCAGAGAAACCAGACCAACCATGGAAACAGAGGCGTGAGTGAAAGTCCCGTGGGTGGTAAGTTCACGAGTTTCCTTGCTTGGAGAAGGAGGGCTTTCATGTTAGGGCAATCCACAGGGTTTGGCTTAAAAAGGACCGGGGCTAGGTTCCAGACTGTCTGTGCATATGGGCAGGTGAGTAAAACATGACGAACATCTTCCACCTCTCCACAGCGGACACAACGACCATCCGTGTTGAAACCTCGACCTATGAGAGCAGCTCCCACCGAGAGTGCGTTAGCAGAGGCTTTCCAGAGAAAGTGCTTTAACTTGGGTGAGGTTTTTACCCGCCAAAGGTTTGTTTGCCAATTGAAACCATCGGCATGGACTGGTTCATTGTGAAGCTTCGAGATAGCATAACCAGTCTTGGTGGTGTACTCACCAGATTTACAGTGAAGCCAGCGTAAAGCATCTTTCGATCTCTTGGAGCCAAGGACCAGTTTCCGAATCTCTTCTTCATGCTGTGGAACAACCATGTGGATGGCGTCGACATTCCAAGAGTTAGAGTGTTGATGTATGAGGTCACCAACAACGAGCGACCTGAGATGTTCCGGAGGTGGACCTATAGGTTGAGTAGGGGTGGAGATGGAGAGCCAAGGTTCTGTCCAGAGGTTCACATCCTTGCCCTCCCCTATAGTCCAACCTAAACCCTTTCTTAAGATCTCTCTACCTGCTAGAATACCTCTCCATCCGTGAGAGGCATTAGAGGGAGGAGAAGCAGCTAGAAAGTGGGACGAGTGACAGTATTTGCCTAATAACACTTGAGCGAGCAGGGAGTCCGGTTGGTTGAGAAGCCTCCATCCAATTTTTGCAAGCTGAGCATCGTTGAAGATCTCGATTTCTCGGAAATCAAGTCCGCCTCCATTTTTTGGGACAGAGAGTTTGTCCCATGAGACCCAACTCATCTTCCGTTTATCTGGTTTGTCGTCCCACCAGAACCGTGTTAGGGCCGTCTGCAGTCTCTTACAGAGAGACTTGGGTAACTTAAAACAAGACATAGCGTAAGATGGCATCGTAGAGAGCACCGACTTCAAAAGGACTTGTTTGCCGGCACCGGAGAGGAAGCCACTTGTCCAGCTATGTGCCTTTTTCCGGACTTTATCCACAATACCCGTGAAAATATCCTTCTTACAGCGACCAAAATGTTCCGGGAGTCCAAGATACTTACCCACTCCCCCCTCTTTCTCAATTCCTAACGATGACTTCACAAGAGCTTTTACTTCCGAGGGAGTCTTGGAGGAGAAGGTAACGGAAGATTTCGTTGGATTTATGCATTGGCCCGATGCATTTTCGTAGGTTCTGATCACCGAGAGTAAGGCCGAGACACTCGTCGGGTTGGTCTTAGTGAAGAACATAGTATCATCCGCAAATAGCAAATGATTGATGGCCAGACTTTGTCGAGAAACGCGGACACCAGGGAGAGCACCACGTTCTTGTGCGTTCCTGCAAAGGCCAGACAGAACCTCAGTGCAGAGAATGAAGAGGTACGGAGATAAGGGATCTCCTTGGCGAAGCCCTCGAGTGGGAATCACGGAACCTAAGGGTGAGTTGTTAATGAGAAAAGAATACGAGACAGTTGAGACACATGCTCTAATCCATCCGATCCAAGTCTCATTAAAACCAAGTTTTGAGAGGACCGCTTGTAGGAAGTTCTATTCGATGCGATCATAAGCTTTACTCATGTCTGTTTTTACAGCCATCGTACAATGCTTTTGAGCTTTAGAGAGACGGAGGAAGTGAAGGGTTTCATGCGTAATCAAAACATTATCCGCAATTGCTCTCTTGGGGACAAAAGCAGATTGGTGTTTCGATATGATCGTAGAAAGGAAAGGTTGGAGCCTTTTACACAGAATCTTTGCGATGATCTTGTAATGTGCGCTGCAGAGAGCGATGGGACGGAAGTCTGCGACCTTCTTGGAACCGAGGTCCTTTGGGATGAGACGGACGTGTGTCTCATTGTATCGGGGATGGAGGAACCCACTTTCAAAGAAACTGCGGATTTCTCGGTACACGTCAAAGCTTATGATTTCCCAATAGGAATGATAGAACCCAGCTGAGAACCCGTCTGGTCCTGGGGCCTTGTCCGGGTGAACAGAGAAGACGGCCTCTTTTATTTCTTTTTCATCAGGAAGTTTTGTGAGGGCTTCATTCATTGCCGGTGTAACACGAGTTTGGAGAGCTTCGTCAACGGCTGCCTTTGGGTCTCGATAATCGGAAGTAAACAGTTTTTGATAGAAGTCAGCAACTACTTTTCCAATGAGATGATCTTCATGGTGAGTAGTGCCTTCAGCATCCTCAATCATTGAAAGATTGTTAATAGCTCTGCGTCCTCTCGTTGCTGCATGAAAGAAGCTTGTATTACTGTCGCCATGCTGTAGCCATTGAATACGACTTCTTTGCCTCCAGAATTCTTCTTCCTCACGATAATCAGTGGCTACAGAGTCTTGTAAAGTAGCAATAAGGTTGGGGTCAGGGAGTTCTGATGAAAGCGCAGCCTCTAAGGCTTCTTGGCTAGCTTTATTGCGGGCCGTTTTTGTAGCATTCTGCTCTCTTGTCCATTGAATAATGGTTCTCTTGCAATCACTTAGTTTCACGTAAATGGGAGGGGCTGGAGAGGAGGGATTGCCCCAGGCCTCTGAAATAAGCGGTGTGACTTCTGGCTTTCCCCTCAGACGTCTATCAAAGCGGAAGATCCCTGAGCCTTTCCTCTTCGTACTATCAAATACCGTTACTAGAGGCCGATGATCGGAACCCTCATACCGGAGATAAGAGCTGTGTCCAGAAGGAAAGGTTTCCGTCCATGAACAGTTGGCCAGGGATCTGTCAAGACGTGAAAGAATAAAGTGGGTGTGGCGCTGACCTCTCCACGAGAGGTTGTTTCCGGAGAAAGGCAAATCCCAGAGGCCATTTTGAGATACAAAGCTACGGAAAGGAATTAGGGAGCCTTCGCTCCTCAGGGGGCCTCCTACCTTTTCTGAGCTGTCTAGTATCTCGTTGAAATCACCTGTGAGAAGCCAAGGTTCGTCACGGGATGATCCCAACGAAGATATAAGGTCCCAAATCTCAGCTATGTTTTCAACTTGAGGGGCTCCGTAGGTGAAGGTGATAAAAGATACAATGCCTTGAAATTTAATCTTTGTGTCAATGAAATGAGGGCTCGAGGCTAGAACCTCTAAGGACACATTATCAGACCAAAAAAGAGCCAGACCTCCACTTAAACCTAGTGGAGGAACCGTAAACCGGTTAGAGAAACCTAAAGGTTGGCATACATGGAAAACAGAGGGATCTTGATTTTTCGTTTCCATGAGAAACAGGATATTAGGAGCAACGGTAGACCGCATTTCCTTGAAACGATGAACTGTGAAGTCGTTTCCAAGTCCTTGACAGTTCCAGCTTAAGGTTACTAAGGAAGAGAATTTGGTGGATTGTGAAAATCCACCTTATTCTTCTGTTTGCGTCCCTGAGATGCCTTTTTCTTCGGAGCCACGGTGCCGCCTTGGGTTGGCGTGGGATTGAGGGAGGAACTTGGTCGGGCTGGGGGAATAGGGTCCATGTTCAGGCACTTCTTGGAAGTCGCTTTTGCCCGTGTCAGATTCCTCTTCTTTAAAGACGCACCCTGGATTGGGCTACTTGCAATCCGCGGTCTCCCTGCTTTCCTTTTCCCTAGGACTTGAGTGGGTTTTGCAGAGGACGGTAGCGTGATTGTCACTTGTTCCACCGGGACTTCGATACGCTTGGACACACTGATTCGTGAGGAAGGAGAAGTCAGATTGGGGTCCGAGGGATTTGGTGTCAGTCTATGTCCCAGCGTCGGGTGAAGGGAGGATCCCGCCATATCATCCCTAACTCCCACCGGATGAGAACCACTTGGTGGGGTGGGTAGGTGAGGGCTGGTCCCAAAGTATTGGACCTCCACGTCTTGAAGTCGGTTAGAGGACGAACTGATTTCCCCAGTAGTTCTGCGACGCGAAGAATCTCGAGGGAGAGAAAGTCATTCCTTTGCTGAGCGTTTTCCTTGAGCCGGCTGTGAGGAAGGATCAAAGCTCGGAGGGGCTGAGACTTGTTCTATGGGGGTTGAGACTAGAGACGTAGGGTGAGATAAGGGTTGGTGTCTATCAGTGGGAGAGGGACCTCTTCTCTCATGATAGTTATCCCCATTAGTTCCCATGCGCTCACTGTGAGGTGCATCCAGTCTCCGGGAGATAGGAGAGTGACGTCCTCTGCTCGGGATATGGGGAGGAGTACGACATTCCTGAGGGAGGTCGTTGTTTTGGGGAGAGGTTTGTCTGTACCGGGAAGACATATGGTCAGAGAGTGACTGATAGCGAGAGCCCTGTTGGGTTGGGTTATGCCCTTGTGAGAAACCTCTAAGAGAGCTTTTTGGAGACGAGTCCCGGGTCGTAATGAGTTGGTCCCTCGGGTGCTCTCTGTTATAGCTTCTTTTTGGGTTTATCTCCTGTCGTTGAGACCGCGAGGAGGGAGATCTATGGGAAGGCCTATCATAAGGTCTCCGGTACCGCTCTCTGGTCTCCCTGTGACGAGATTCGAGGTTTCTGCTCCTTCGTTCTGTCTGTTCTGCTCTGTAGTCCCTTCTGCTCGAGTGGCGAATTCTGTCTTCCTCTGCACGGGTTACAGTTCTTCGTTGGTTGATGCCGATCTCTGGAATCCTCTCCACCGGAGGTTGTTCCTTTAACGGGCAATCTTTTTCTTCGTGGGATAGGGAGAAGCAGGAGAAACAGTGCTTCTCAAGCTTGTCGTAGACTAGGTTGACCGTAGTTACTTCCCCCGTAGGTAACTGGATGGGGAGGCTCATCTCCAGCGGCTCCAGTGCGTTTATCCGGACACGAATTTTTCCCAGGTCCACATCTCTGTCAATAACGAAACCCAATTCGGCACCAATGGTACAGAGGGTTTGGTCGGACCAGTGATGGAGGGGGATCCCTTGGACCTCAATCCAAAAGGGAATGAAAGCGGGAAAGTAGTCAGAGACTATTGGTTCCCACCTTTGTAGAATGAACATCCATCTCTTGTAGTGGAACGGGGCTTTATCGAGAGTAACCTTTAGGATTTCTTCGTCTTGGAATCGAATGAGGAACAGAGAGGGGCCTAGCTCTCTACCCACCGCTTTGTCCTCAATCTCCCAGTGATGAAGCATGAATTCCATTAGGGCTTTCGGTTTCTGGATCTGGGGGTTCAGGACCCGGCCTATGAGCGCGAGCTTGTTGTTTATCAAGACCTGGTTGTTACTTGGGGGGATAGGTACCGGACCACGGCGTTTGGGTTTGGGTGTACCAGCTATCCATTTTTCTTTTTCCCCTCTAGAGTACTTGAGCGTCATACTGTAAAGGGAGGGACGAAAGAGACTAGGAGTCGGAGGGCGAGAGATTCCTTAAGGAGGAAGGGAGGACCGGTTTGGTGGTTTTAGGGTTTCCTTTTCCACACAGGGGAATGTTGGTAACCGGATTCAATCCAAACAGAACAGTCCTGGGGAGCTTGTCGTCGTTATGGGGGTCGAGTAGAGATCCTGTCCTTGAGAAACAGAAGCGGGGAAGAGATTCTAAGTTATCTCAGACTTCCACACAAGGGAAGCTGAGAAATGAAACCACGGAAGCGGGCGAAGTCTCTGAAAGAAGAGGGTTCATCGGAAAGGAAGCAAAAGCGCCGGAGAAAATTCAAAAAATTCAAAAACCAGCGGCGGGGCGCGGTTTTCAAAAAAGAGGTTGCGGCGGAGGAGCGGCGGGGCTCTGGAAGCAAGAAAGTGGTTGCGGAGGGGCTGACACACGCGGGAAAGAGTTAATGCTCATCGGGAACCGTGCATGGGAGAGAAACTCTTTCTCAAAAGATGGTAACTAAAGCACGGTTTTGGTCCTTTGTGTATTTCATTGCTTATCTTTATAAAAAACAGCTATTTGGGTTTCTCAGAGTTTTCACGTCAGCGTTTTTTCGGAGAGTTTCCGTACTGCTACGTCAGACTCGATTACTAAAGCTGTCACGTCATACAAAACATTCTAAAATATTGCAAGATACATTTAATGTGCAATGGATACACATTTTGAGAAATAAAATATGTTGGAATTGGGTGTTCTTCTAAAACAATTCAACCTATTCTACTTGAAATAATTGAATTTGTTCACAAAGCTGTAAATTATTCCTCTACTAATTTGAAGAAAAATAAGTAGAATAAAATAATTCAATCATCCCTATTCCATCAATATGTATTTCACTCATTAATTAAGTCTACCATTTAGTAAAATTAATTCATGTTACAATGTTTGATCTAAATTAAAGTTTCATTGCATTTTATACGAGTTACTGATATTGTCATATAGAATAAATAAATAAAAAACAAGGGTCAATTAAAAGGTTACAAGACTCGCTAAACCATAAACCCGTTTTCTTCTTCTCTGCGCCGCGTTCTTCATTCTCCTCCTCTCCGTCGCCGACTCTCAAGGTCCTCGCCGTCGCACCCTTCCTTAGAGTCGTTTCGTATCTGCAAGTAAGTTTTTTTTCTCTTTGCCGTACTAATTCCTCTTCGAAAATCAAGTACTGCGACTTGAATTTTTCACCTGTTCTGTTGTATTACAATCCTAAATTTTTGAATTGAGAATAAACAATAAGAGTTTTGGAGACTGATGAATTAGGATACAATTGAATCATTCCCTGTGGAAACCTTAGTTTCTGGGAGCTTTCTAAATGGTTCTCGTTGAATTACTCACAAATCTCTTGTTTTTCCATTCATATAGTCTGCAATTTTTTCTGCAGAGATCTGATTGATTGAAAGAGAGAGCAGACATGGTTGAATTGGAGAAGAACTCCACTGAAGAGCTTAAGAAGAGGACACGAAAGCGAAACCGTGGGAAGAAGAACGACCAGCAAAGGGTGGATGAAGAAACCCACAGCGTAGAAGAAAATGCAGAAGAAATCCAGGAGAAGAGAGAAAAGAAGGTTAAGAAAGTGAAGTTGCAGGGGAAAGGCAAAATCGAAGAAAAGGAAGAGAAGAGGAAGAGGAAGAGGTGGAAGCAAAGGAAGAAGAAGAAGAAGAAGAAGGTGAAGAGGAGAAGAAGATGGTGATTGTGAGCAAAGGGATAATGACTAATGAAACATTTGAATCGCTGGACTTATCTGAGCCTACTTTCGAAGCTATCAAGGAGATGGGCTTTCAGCACATGACGCAAGTACGTACCTTTCTTTCATGTTTAAACCGCATTTTCTAAAACTGGGGTCTTGTTTCATCTTTCATGTTCAGATAAAGGGTCGTGTGTCATAACTCTGTTAATCATCTTTTCCATCATTCAGATTCAAGCTGGATCAATTCCTCCACTTTTGGAGGGGAAAGATGTTCTTGGTGCTGCCAGGACTGGTTCTGGTAAAACTCTTGCTTTTCTCATACCTGCTGTTGAGTTGCTCCTCAAAGAGCGTTTCTCTCCTCGCAATGGGACTGGCGTCATCGTTATTTGCCCCACAAGGGAACTTGCTATTCAGGTAAATCCCCTCATCTCTCAAGTTGATGGTTCATTGCATTTGCGTTCGATCTGTAAAGTATAGATTTTGCCTCTCAGTTCCGTTTTTGAATTGATATTTCAGACTAAAAATGTGGCGGAGGAGCTACTCAGGCATCATTCACAGACAGTCAGTATGGTTATTGGTGGCAATAACAGAAGGACGGAAGCTCAACGTATAGCGAGTGGTTCAAATTTGTTGATAGCAACTCCTGGGCGTCTTCTTGACCATCTTCAACATACCAAGGGTTTCATTTTCAAACACCTCAAGGTACCGTCCTTTTCATAGTTCCATTTGGCGCATGTTCTCGTCTTCTATCTGAGAGTTAAAATCTGTTTATCAGCTTATGCGGTATTCATTTTCTGTAGACAAACAACAATAGTAATATAGCCATAGATGAATTGTAGATATCAGCTTATGCGGTATTCATTTCTGCCGCATATGTAATAGTTTTAGAGAAGGAAACTACATTTGGCTTATAATTTTGTTTGTAGGCGTGGGTTGTGGTGAATAGTTGCAGTGTTATGCTTTAGAGTTTAGATGATTCCAATGGATAATTATCTTTACATATGTTCCTATAAATTGCAGTGCCTTGTGATCGATGAAGCTGATAGGATACTCGAAGAAAATTTTGAGGAAGACATGAATAAGATTCTGAAGATTTTACCAAAGGTTAATCATCTCCTTGGCTCTTAAAATTCCAACCTCTCAGTATCAGAGATTCTTTTTCTTTTGTCTACACAAATCATGAGCCAAAGTTTTTGGCACTACTGTGGTTTGGATTTTGTACTGATTAAAGCTGTTACCATGTATCTCCAGACTAGGCAAACCGCGCTATTCTCTGCCACCCAGACCTCTAAGGTATTTTTCTGTTAACTGCGGTATTGTCATTGTTACTACTAATTTATGTTACTTATGAAGTTTTCTCTTGGTGAATCCTAACAGGTTCAAGATCTTGCTCGGGTGTCGTTGACGTCTCCTGTTCATGTTGATGTCGATGATAGTAGACGCAAGGTATGAATCAAAAAGAACACTCCGGTAATGAAAGTTTAAGAAGCATGCCATGGAGATTTTTACTTAAATAAGTCTCCAAATCTGTGTAGGTGACAAATGAAGGATTGGAGCAAGGCTATTGTGTTGTCCCGAGCGAGAAAAGACTCATCCTTCTAATCTCTTTTCTGAAAAAGAACCTGAACAAAAAAATAATGGTGTTCTTCTCGACATGCAAGTCGGTACAGTTCCATGCCGGAATCATGAAACTAATCAATGTGGATAGCTGTGATATCCATGGAGGACTGGATCAGAACCGGAGAACTAAAACCTTCTTCGACTTTATGAAAGCAGAAAAAGGTATCTTGTTGTGTACTGATGTTGCTGCCCGTGGTCTCGATATTCCTTCAGTGGTACGTATCCACACTATGTTCTTGCATCGACCGACTTTTATATACTCAATAGTTTTATTGTAATCATTTTGTGTTGAATTTTTTCATCTGTAGGACTGGATTATACAGTACGATCCTCCAGACAAGCCAACGGTAGGAGAAACATTTTGCTCTGTTTGGTTTTTGCCATATCCGTTTTGTTCTGTTTATGCATTATCCTAGATTGTTTTTGTTTTCAGGAATATATCCACAGGGTTGGTCGAACAGCCCGTGGAGAAGGAGCAAAGGGAAAGGCATTGCTTGTCTTGATCCCTGAAGAGCTTCAGTTTGTTCGCTACCTTAAGGTATATATTATATGATTATATGAATGGTTTTGTGAATCTTTTTGTGGATAAATCAACTTTGTTTTATTGAATTTGTACATTAAACCCGCAGGCTGCAAAAGTACCTGTAAAAGAGCTTGAGTTCAATGAGAAGAAGCTTTTGAATGTTCGATCTGCGCTGGTAAATAGTCCTGTTTCAGTCTCTTTGTCGGTCAATTACTCTTTCCATTTGTAAGTGTTATAACATCGTCTCTCTTGCTCTGTCCTGCAGGAGAAATATGTTGCAAACAACTACAGTCTAAACAAGTTAGCCAAGGAAGCTTACCGGGCTTATATCTCAGCATACAATTCACATTCTCTGAAAGACATTTTTAATGTTCACCGGCTCGATCTCCAGGTACAAAATCAGACACACCAAAACCTCACTGGCTCTTCTTACATGTTGGTTATACATATCTTGTTTCCGAATTAGAAGATAACCCGGTTTTGATCTTTTTGAATGTTCACAGGCGGTTGCTGCGTCCTTTTGCTTCTCGTCGCCGCCAAAAGTGAACCTGGGCATAGAAAGTGGAGCTGGGAAGGTGAGGAAGGCGAGGAATCAGCAAAGTCGTAATGGCTTCTCTCCTTACAGTCCCTATGGCAAAGCCAAGTCCACACCTAAAGAGGCTTAAAAGTTTCTTGACCCTCCTTTTTGCCCCTCCTTTTTTTGTCTATTAACCTTTAAGTTGTGTCTAAAAAGTAACATTACCTTTGCTCTTAAATTTAGTTGAATGTTTCTTGTAATACTTAAATTCAGGTCTATGAGTTATAAAAATTGTTACAATAAATTATTGTCAGCTACTTAGCTTTCTTGGCAGATTTTTTTTCTCATGACAAAAACCAAATGTTGGTAATATGAGCAACCAGAAATTTAATTCAGTAATATCAAAAACAAATGGGTTTGAACATATTCAGAATAAATGGTATTTGGTGTTCTATGATCAGTGCCACACCAAATTGGCATTTCAACACAAAATCTGGTGTTTCTTCCTCTTCCTCTTCCTTTTGCCGCCTAGTTTGATTGGCGCTAAACTTGGAACAAAAGGGTACACGAGTGGGTAAAAATAGTTGTTTGACGGTGCTCGCAAGTCCTCTTTTTTGAAGTATCCATCCTCTCCAATGATATAAGCTAACATGACCATCTCCGACTTTCGGGGAACATCAAGCAAATCAACAACCACGGCGGCTTTCTTCTCCTCGTCAACAACGAAACTCGCGGCGTCAAATTGATAACCAATGAGTGGTTCCATATCCACCGCTAAGAAGCACAACTTGCTCCACGACACAACTTGAGGCTCAAACTTAGTGGTAATCCATATCTCCATACGTAATGTATCCTGGTGCTGATATAATACTGCAAGTTGCTCATCTCTCTAACACTAGACAGAGTCACGGTATCATCAAGAAGAGAGTGAAACGGTAGAGTTATATGCGGGCCAAAGCTCTCCGTGGTAAAATCAAAACAGATCAAGAAGCCAGGGACCTCTGCTCTGTCAATCTCAAGTAGGTCTGCTGGCATCTCCTGCTGAGCAAACCAATAAGTATTTCCCTTGAGAGACACGCCACATGCATTAAACTCTATAATCCAGTCCTGATAGGTATTGATAAGGACAGTAACTTTTTTAGAGTTGATGTAGTAGAGTTCATGCTGCACATACCCTAAGGAACAGTCACCACATCTCAAAACTTTGTAGCCCCCGAAACTCCGCCTAGCAGCTGCTGGTCTTGCCCATGAGAACTGGTCCTTTTGCCACTGTGTACTGATTATAAATCACCTTTAATAACATTTTTCATATACTTAAAGACTGAACGCAGTAATGTGAAATCATTTCTTTATAAAACATCCACGTCAAGTCGTCATATAGCCGAAAAAAAATAAAAAGGAGAATGTAATTCGGTGAAAACTTTAAACATATAAATCACAAAAAATATTGAAAACCGAAAGAAAAGAGTTTGTAGAAACACTCACCACTTGGCGACCAAACTCTTTCAACAGGTCTTCTGGTTCTCTTCTCTTCTCTATCCGTCAACTTTAGTCAATCAACCAACAAGTGTGGTCCATTGAGTTTGTCCTTCCTTTCATTTTCACTCCTAATGTTTCAGTTGGAAAATTAAAGCCAGATCTTTTTTTCTTTTTGCCAATAAAGGTCCCCAAATTACTAATCATTAGAGCAAATACAACGAAGAGATTTGCAGAGTTTCTTTAGCCAAAAAATAAAGAAAAAATGCAATGTATATCTATGTGCCAAGCTTTATGGTGAGAGACTGGTGAGAGACATCTCTTCCCGAAGAGATTTGGAGACCGTTTCTCTGACACAAGCTTGCCACTTGCTGCAACCCGATTGGGTTGTGCTTTGTTTTTTTAATTAAATCATTTTTTCTCGAAAATCAATTTCCTTTTTATTTAACAAAAAACATTTAAAGAGACTCATACAGTCTCTCCGTTGTCTCTGCTCTTACTCTTTGAGTCTTTTCCATTCCCCTCAATGTGAATTGTGAAAACTGAAAACTGTATAATTGCTTAGGCCCTACGAAGCTGTGAGTATCTTGGTGTCTGTGTCCATATTCACACAATCCATACACCATCAATATTATACGTATTGTTCATTCGTTCATGTAAGCTTTATTTTACAATTTTTCTCAACTCGAGATAAATTAATGAAACGAGATTCATCAGGTAAGGAAATCAATGTGAATAATCACGAGAAGTATCCAGTGTGATGCGAGTCTTGGAACTGGTAAGTAGTCAAGTAGTAGAAGTTAATGAATTTTAATGACTACACTCTTTACCATAAATAAATCAGGTAAATAAAACGCATTTAATGTCGCATTCTGTCTTGTCTATACATGGTCCTAATTTGTCTGCGCAGTTATAGTGTAGTCCTTGTGTAAATACTACTCCTACTAAACAGCTATCTAAATACTAGTATACGTTAGTTAGTCATTACTTATACTCAATCGGAGGTTTTTGTTTCTGTTGGTTTAAGAGATCTCAATCGGAGATTTCATATACTAAATGTCGCTTCATAATGTTGATACGAAATAGTTTAATTTGATTTTAATTATTTTTATCAATCAAAGAGAAAAAAATGGTAAAAAAAACAATAGAACACCATTTAGAAGAACCACAATGTTCGTTGGACTTTACCAACAGAGAGAGGAATCAAGCTGCAGATAGATTAGCTTCTCAAATTCATAGTTCTGATTTAATGTATAATTATCATCTAAACCCTCCTTAATTTGTGGTTGCAACAATTCTTGTACTATCCATTTAATATCTAATATAATTAGTTGGAAAACAAATAAAGAACACCATTTAGAAGAAATATAAAAATTAGATAAATAAATTACGGAAAATAGAACATAAATTACTCTTTTTGTTCTTAAAATATTATTTTTTATATTTCACATATATTAAGAAGACATAGTAAAACTTAACTATACATGTATTATTTTGTAATTGAAATTTTTATATAGTTTTTAACCAGTAGTAGTTTATCAATTTCAATTATTTTTTTGATGTTTACAATTAAACATTATGAGCTAATAAAAAATATGTTAAAAACATAGAACATCCATCTTTTAAAACATTTTTTTGATGAAATTTAAAAACAGTTGGAGTAGATGTTATATCTAAGTATACAACAGGTTATATATAATTTAAACAATTAATTAGCTTTTTGATTACAAAATTGTGTACCTTGTTCAGTTGTTCTTAAGTTGATCTTAAGGATAAACATGCAAATAAGCAATATTTGGCGTACACTATCCACGTGACCGCAGGATCTAATGTGAAAGTGTGAAACTAGTACTTCTGGTAAGAATCTCATCATCCGCTCGGCTACAAAGACACGTGTCGTCTTACTGTTCAGTTAGGATCTTACCGACAAACAGATTCGAGTGGGCCCCGCGTGCGTAATGAGGACCACGAGGGAAGGGTGCTCCTTTACTTTCCTGTCCTTTTTTGTCTAATTACGACACTGATAACATTTGTTTAAACATCACTTCTATGCAATCAGTAGTTGCTAAAACATCACCGTTATGCAATTACTCTTAATTTAAAATTAAAATCCGATTATTTTGGTTAATTTTGTCTGTTTTGAAACTTGGATGAAATTAAGTTGTTCGGTTTCTTATCAATATGTTAGATATGGAAAAAGAAAGTATAATCTTCAAGTGTAATCTTCATTAAAAGAGAAATCGGATAATAAGGCAAAAAAAGTAGGGAAAAATCTTCAAGTGTCAAGACTTAAGACATTGGAGAGCGTATATTTACCACAAGAGTCAAATCAGAATTAGAAGAATATCCAAGCTAGCTTTTATCCATACTCCATAGTTGTACTGATAAACGTTTAAAACTAATTATGTATAGTTTTTGATGAAATCTCGATAAGTGTTCGACTAACGGATGACGTTAGAGAGTTCTCTTTTTTAAACGTAAGAGTGTTTTAGCATCGCATTTTATAA